ATTATGGCATACGATATGGCCAATCACATCCTAGGACAAAAGCGAGGGGCCCCGGTCAAAGTGCAAGAGGGGACATTCAAAGACTGGCCCCTGGACACGCTTCCTCATTGAACAGCTGGAAAAGCCCCCTCCTCGCCTCCAGCGGCACTGGGGCCTCGAACTAGCTAAACCAGTATCACACCACCTCGCGGTGACACTCGCCCTCTTTTATTTTGACACAGGGTTTCGTGGAGCCCAGGTTGGCCTTGGACTCCAGATCCTTCCCTATTAGCTTCCTGGCGACTGCAGGCGCGGGCGTGTTTTCTATACCTCCAATAATTCTCCAAGCTGGTGTGGAGGCGGAGGAAAGAGAGGAGCTGTAGCCTAGGGCCGACTCGGGAGGGCAGATGACCTTCCTGCACCCCATCCAGACAGGCCTCTCCCCTGCAGCCTAGCACTGAGCTTCCTGCTGAGGCTGGCAGAGCACTTGCGTAGAGTGAGGAGGAGAGGGCTCTCTGAGGCTCTAGGCAGAGAACACACACTGGCTCAGCAGGGGTTTCAATAATGTGCAAATCACAGGGGGACATTAGAGATGTTGGGGGGCCCTTCCTAGCCTTGGGAAGAGACTGCTCTCCCATAAATTGCCACACTAATACCGATTTCAGGGATTCAAATTACTGGCCCGATCCAGCATGACATTTTCTGCCCATTATCTAGTTCCTCCTGCCTCCAGGCAGGGCCACATCATTGATTACGGAGCGTTTCAGCCACTAAAAAAGATCACGCTCATCATTAAGGACATTAAGTGTTGATCTGTGCCGGCTAAGTGACTTAAAAGGTTCGTGCCCTTCTAGTAACAACTCCAAGAGGCCATTTCAGGATATTTATTAAACAAATTAAGTATTTACATTATGCTCAAGCACAGAGGCACAGCACTTGAGTATGAGGGTATCAGAAAACAAAACCAAGAGACTGTGTGGGAGAAAAACCCAGCTTGTTTGCTTTCCTGAACGAGGGGGCAGAGGAACCTCCAAATGTTTGGGGAAGAGGCTGAACTGGGCAGGTCTTGATGGTTACCTGCCTCCCAGTGCACCCTGTCTCCAGACATTTTCCTTACAGAGACTATGGCCTACTAACTACGCAGTGAGAAAGCCTGGGAGGATTTCAGGAAATCTTCAAAACCTAAGCAATCCAGGAAATGGAAATGTCTCCCTGTTTCCCCACGCTCCATATTATTAGTGCCATCATCATTCTAAAGCTGCTCTGCGGAGTGCTTTTCTCATCCTGTGGTCCGTAGACAAAGGAACCCAGGCTTCTTTGATATAGTGGCAGTCCACGAGGGCTGGCCCATCTCCGTGGTTGTGAGTGTTCTTCCTCCTCCGCCTACGGAGCACTCAATGGGCAGGAACGGTGCTGTGCCCAGGACTCAGCCCAGCGGCTGGCTGGTCCACAGTGCTGTTTAATGAGGATGTGTTGACTCCATGAATGGATGCATAGAAGGAGTCTATAGATGGCAGGGAAAAAACACAGCTTTCCATGCATGTTGCTGTTGCTGAACCTGATGGAAGCCATTCAAAGAACGGCTTATTTCGGCTCATGGTTTCTGATGGGACAGGTGTGGTGTCAGGAGCCTGAGGCAGCTTGTCAGATGGTACCCCCAGTCAGGCTGCTGCTCAATTCACTCTCTCTTTTGGGACCCCACGGAACAGTGGCCGTTACATTCAGGGCAAGTCTTCTGATCTCAATGAATCCAGTCTAGACAAGCCCTTACAGACATGCGCAGAGAACTATCAGATGATGTGCAGAGCAGGCTGTGCCTTGCCCTGGGTGACTCCATCCTGGGTAACATTGTCAAGGTGAAAGGACCCTGCACTTTGTACAAATAAGCAAACCCCAGACATTGGGAGCAATTCAATGCCTGGACTTTCCCATAGTTATCAAGACACACAGCAGAACATGGTAAAATGAAAAACTACTAACACCATATGTTGGACACATTGAACATTAAGAACTTAACAAACCAGACCAAAGACACACAGGATGTGTTCACATCAGCCCACAGTGTGGACCACTCAACTATTCCTTTGTTATAGACCACGCTGGTGTATGAGTCATGGCTTTGGCTCAGAAGATGACCAACAGTAAACCCTGAGGGGACCCCAGGCTCAGTGTGCTCCCCACCACCACTGCCCATTTCATGCCGTTCAGACAGCTCACCTGAACACCTTCGCTGCTGGCTTGTGAAGCTGGGATCTGACATTCCGCACTGACTGTATTGCTCTGCCTTTCCCTACCCGGTGGCAATCCCGGGAAGGGCCATGTGTGACTGGAGGTCAGAGTGTTGGTAATGGAACTTGGAACAGGACAAAGAGCTTGTGCTTGCTGTGGATAGAACACCAAGGCAAGTCAGGAACGTGTGGGGAAGGGGAGCCAGCGGAACTGACTGAGCGGCAGCGGCCTGGTGGCCGTCGACCAGTGCCATCACTCATTCACAACGGATGACAAGTCGGCATTGTTGTAAGCCGTCAAAGCTGTGGTAATTTGTTACAACCACACAGCAAACCGATACAAGGGAGAGAGTGAATACAGTTTGGGATAATTTTACGTTTGTCAAGTCTTTGATGCAAAGAATACAGCCATTTGGAAACATTCATCCATAGTCATTCACCTAACGTGTTAGATGATCCTTAAAAATCCCTTTACCTCTCATGACCTCAGTTTTACTATCTATAAAGAGAAAATACATTTAAGCTTGGTTCATTTCAAAGCTCAGTGCTTATGAGCTGGGGAAGGAAGGAAGATACTTTTCCGTTATATACCTGCCAGTACTTGGCAAACACCGAGGACAAAGTGACATTATACACAGTGATCTGCACAAAAGAAGGAATGGGTTCCATTTTTTTTTTAAAAAGAACTCAAAATAAAAGAATCTGGGAATATCTTAATAAGAAACGTGTTGAACTTGCAGAAAGAAAACTACAAAATTCCACCGAGACACATAAAGGGGTATTGGAAATCGTGAAGGGACGTGCAGTATGTGTTCCTGGATGGGAGGCATGAACGCTGTAAAGATGCCAAATTCTTCCCAATTAATTTGTAGGTGGAATGTAATTTTCATCAAAACCCCAGAGGAGTTTTGGAGAGTCACAAAAAATGATTCTACCGTTCATCGGGAAAACAAACAAGTAAGCAAGCAAGCAAAGCTGAAAGCGACCTGAAAACAAAGAAGAATTAGGTTTAGAGTTTGTCCTAAGAAATGGGGTGGGATATGTGTGTTTCTGGAGCAGGAAAAGGGGCAAGGGGCAAAACAGCCTGGACAGGTCCCTATATATGTAAAGGAACTGAATGTAAAACACAGGCTTTGGACAACAACACAAAAACAAAGAAACGAAAAAACAAAGCCAACTCACACATAAGCACATAAGACAGATAACATGCACACACACACACACACACACACCCATACATCATGGGAAACTGGCCAGCCACAACCACTTAGAAACTCTTCACCCCACACTATGTACCAAAATAAATTTCAAATACATGGAAGTGCTAAACAATTTTAAAATTCATACCAACCAAGAAAAAGCAAGTGGATCGGAACCTAGTCTGAAGGCCAGAAAAACTTCCTTAGTATAAATATGGCAGAATAAACTACGAAAGAAAAGACTACAGATCTGAACAAACACCGAGTTAACACGGGCCTGGTGAGATGGCTTGGCTTGCTGCCAAACCCGATGACCTGAGTTCTGTTCCTGGGACCCACACGGTGGAAGGAGAGAATTAATTCCTGCAAGTTGTCTACTGACTTCCACAAGTATGCCCACACACTCACACACATAAAAATAAAATGAGCAATGATGTAACAAAACCAAAAAGGTAAAAAACATCTGCACATCGAGAAGCCATTGTGAAAATGAGATGAAAACAATAAACTCGAAAGCCAGTTGTAATGAAAACAGAAACAGGAAGAGAGGACTCGGAAGGCACAGTGGCTATGAAGGGGAAATGGGAAAAACCAGTGGGAGGGACTTACCTGAGGGGGGAGGGAGGGCAACGGGAAGGAAGAGAGGGATAAGTAGCACTAAGGATGCTTTAAAAAGCCACAGGGAATTATATCACGGTTACTTCAAATTACATATACTACACATATATGTGTATGTACACACACACACACACACACACACACACACTGCTCCTTCCTCCCAAATACAGACTGACAAAAACCCCAGAGCCATGGGAAACCTCCCTTCTAGCTGCTGGTTGGGGAGCCCAAGAGACCCCTGAACAATTGAGGCTACTGTTGTTGCTCTGAGTTCCTCCCAGACAGAAGTGAGATCCTGTTGCTCACAACAGCACAGACTTTGGACACGGGACTTGGAGGAGCCGGTCTGAATCTGGCCCGGAAGCCTCCTTCCTGAGGACTAGCTCTCATAGTATTGGAAGGAGCTGTGCAGTCTCCCAAGGGAGAAAAGGAGCTGATAGTCCTGTTCAGCTGTATCATCTACAGACTATAACAAATAAACAGCATGGCAAGACATTCCTAGAGGGGCAGTAGTGGCACTGATATACTGGGGGATAACCAACAGCTACCCAAGTGGACTGCAAACCCACTCAGTCGGAGGAAATTCACGTCCAGTGCTGTAAAATCGGCTGTGGCTGGTGAGCCATGGAACCTAGAGGAGAGCCTATCACTGCCACTTTCCCAAACCCGTGTGATCTCTAACCGAATTCTTCTTCTTAATTAATTAATTAATTAATTAATCTAACCGAATTCTTCATACTGACCCTTCTATCTCCAGAGAAGTGCAGCTCTCTCCCCTCACCAAAGGAGCTTCTTTTTGTAGCCAACAGAGACGACTACAGAGGTCCACACTGGCCGAAATGTAGAGATCATCTGACTGTAATGTCTGCAGTTTAGGCTCAGGGGATGAAAAGACTGTCAGTGCCGGAGGACCATGATATCTGCTGTAAGAGAGTCTCTCTCAAAAAAAAAAAAAAAAAAAAAAAAAGACGCAAAGTGGGGGGCGGGATGGAGTGTGGATCTGGGAGGCGTGGGGGGTTGGTGAATACAATAAAGACACATTGTATGAAATTCTCGAAGAATTAATGAAATTAAAAAAAAATAGACCCATAAATATTCTAAGGGAGATAAAATGGGCAGAAGATACAAATAGACACTTTAGAGAAACAAGAAAGAGCTAGTAGGCATGTGAAAACTTTTAATATTATCCGTAATCAGTAAAATAAAACACAAAAGTGAAGTGATGTTTTCCCATCAAGTTAGCAAAGATCTGAAAATAAATCAGGTCCAATCGACAGTAAGAGGACAGGGAAAGGCACACGCCGTGGGGCTAGGGCAGTGGGATCCATTAATCAGGCCACTGGACAAGACGCGCCAGAACCACAATGATGATGAAGTAAGCCCAGCTCTCTAATGCTGCATGTCAACATCTAGAAACTTCTGTGAAAATAATCAGAAAATACAGAAACATATGCTTATTGTCGGGCTATTTATAGAGCAAAGCCGACATTGATTGAAAGGCACAGTGCACAAAGCTCCTCTAGCTCATTTTAACAAGAGAAAACTTGGACACACACAAAAAAAGAAAGAACCAAAATGTGAACAGTCATCACTTTGGTTGGGCAGAAATGTTTTGTTCTTTCTTCAGACTTTTCCCTAGTTCCAGAATATTTCCTAAGGTGCACTTGGTACCACAGTACACGCACACGAACACCTCTTCCCATTTTGTGAGCCCAGTGTCTACAGGCGACAGCCGAGGGAACACTGGTATTTGGTGAAATCATCCTGAGAGTGATGGACAACAAAGGAGAAGGCAGTTATCACTCAGCGGCCTTACATGATACGAGCTTATGAAGACGGGATGAAAGAACAGAGGCTCGGACAGAACTTCTCTGGGAACATTTGACAGAGGAGGGATGCTGTCTTGGGACTGCTGTGCACATCCTTCTGTGGCAGTAGTTTCCTCCACAGACTACATGACTCACTGGGAGTCGTTAGTAACAGATACTGGAGGTTTCACTGAAGACAGGTTCTGGGGGAGAGAGAAAAAACAGCGAGACTGCTTCCAAGAATCCCGAGCCAAACGGCAGGCACAAAAACAACGGAGAGCCTGTGTTCAGTGCTACCCGCTCTGGATCACAGATGCCCTGAGATCAGACCGTCCCCTGCTTCACTGTGCCCACCCTTCCACTCCCCAAAGGGGAGCTGTGTCCAGGGCTTCACACCTACCAGCACCCGAGGTCTGGTATCCTGGGAGAAAGGCCTCCGCTAACCTGCGTGTTGTGCTTCCAAATCCCAGCTCTCTCCCGGGAAAATGACTCACGGTCATTTTCTTCAAGGGACCTTGGAGGATAGCCCAGCCCACTCTGCAGTTTACAAATGAAGCTGGTCTCAGAAGCACAAAGCTACTTTCCCAACTAGGACAGGAAACCAGGTCCCAGCGCTCTTCCGTCAAGTTCAAAAAAAGAATTATCCTTTCCTCTTTGGAGATAATCAAGAAGCAGGTGACCTGTGCCCTGCAAATCATCATGCCACCTCGTGTCATGTGACCTTTGAAATCCAAACCAACAACTTCACACGGGAGCTAGGGAAATTCAGAAAAGGACAGAGAGAAAATGAGGTGCTCACTAAAAAAAAAAATATTTTAGGGCTAAGGTGAGATGGGTAAATGTGCTCGTCATCAAATCTGATGACCTGAGTTCACTCCCTGCGACTCACATTGTACGAGACAACTGACCCCTGAACATTGTCCTCTGACCTCCACACGCATGCCATGACATGTATACCTGTATTTACACAAATATCATAAACTCACACACACAACAGTAATGAATAAAATAGTTCAAAAAAAGAGGATAAATAGAAGGAGAAATCTGGGAGAAAGAAAGAGGAGCTAGCAGCCAGAGGAGGGGCCAGAGAAGGGGAGGACATCGGGGGCCAGTCTCCCAGTTACACAACCAGCAAGCCATGGAGTAAGATTTACGGAAGTAGAACAGGAAAAACCCAGAGGCCAAAGGAAGACAGGATGATTTAAAGTCAAGGAAAGCTGGCTAGAAACTAAGCCAAGCGGCTGGGCATTCATAATTAAGTGTAAGCCTCCATGTGTGATTTATTTGGGAGCTAGGTGGCGGGCCCTCCCAAAAAAGAGTAAAATACTAACAACAGCACTTCCCAGATACAAACTCTGGCCTTTCAGAGAGCCTAAGACCCAAGTCAAAAATCCATCTCCGTCCCACTTTACATAGAAAGAAAAGCTAGGTTGTAGGATAGTGCCGGCCATCGGAAAGCTGTGTCCATGTCTGCCTGTGGTGCTAGAGATGAGGGGGGACCCTTAAACCCCACCCCCAACTTCTTGGCCATTCTGAGCTGAAGTGGGGATGGGGGCATAAATCTGGAGTTAGGATCATTTTATTAAGCAGTCATCCCCAAAGCTTTTTCCATAGCCATGCAGAATTCTGGGGCGAGTGAGTCACAAAGATCTGGGCCCTGAACATGGCAATCCCTACATCACATTACATGTCCTCCCCAAAGCTCCAAAACACAGCACAGGGAAGCATTCTCATAACCCAGGGGAGGGAAAAGAAAGCACAAAACATTGCAAAACAGTGCTTGAAAATGACGTAGCAAGTGTGCATTGGAAAACTTTCCATTAGAGGTCTTAATTATGTTTTTCCCTCACAGATGCGGGATCGTGCTTAAGAAAAGAGCCCGTTAGCAAGACTTGAGTTTACCAGGAGCAGTGATATCATAATGAGAGGAATTTCATTATGAAATCTGTCTTAATTAATACTACATAGACAGCTATAAATCAGAGTGGGGAGCAAGGGTGAGGAAATGAACTATGTTCCTGGAACCTTCTGGAGATTACAGTTATGACTGATTTGGTGGTTTAATTAGAAAAACAGAATTCAAGAAAGACAGAACAAAGGCAAAGGAGAATGAGAAGGTTTGAGATGGAGCTGATATGGGAGAACGCAAAGTCTGCAAGAGCTTCGGGGCACCCGGTCCTGAGAGCCACTCAAACGGGAAATCTTTCAAAGTTTGGAACAAAAGATTAAAAAAGGAGTGTGTTTCAAAATGGAAAGTCACCACAGTGGAAACATGCTCTCCGCACGAAGCAGGCAGTCTGTTCTTAGTATGTCTCACGAGTGCTTGTAACAGTCACTGGCATGTTAAAAGGACTAAAAGGAACTTTGGGGCTGGAGAGAGGGTCCAGTGGGCAAAGCTGAGGACCTAAGTTCAGATCCCAGCACCCATGTTAAAAAGCCAGTGTGCCTATAATCCCAACACTGTGGGATGGGGACAGGGAGATCCTGGGGGCCTGCCGGCTAGCCAGTCTGTCTGAATCTGTAAGGTTCTGCGAGAGACTGCCTCATGACACAAGGTCGAGATGTGATTGAGAAAGATATTCCCACGTCAAACTTCGGCTTTCACACGGGGGTAGGGGGTGGGGAGGGAAGGAAGCGGGGCG